GGAGAAAAAAATGTACACTGACCATTGGTCATCGTTCATCACTGTCACTTAATCCCTAATTTAAACTATAACTGGTGTTGTCATGAGCCAGCGCAAATTCTACGATCAGAACTTTTCACATTTAGTGCTGCTAACATTTTTAGCTTGGTGAGTCTTCAGTGTATTGGATGTTTTTTACTAGTGAAATTTAGCATAAGATGGCAGGGAGAAAGCAACTTTCATTTCAAGATAAACTTAATGTTATTAAAGTAATGTCAGGGAACGAAACTTTTAAAGCTAGTAATGGTTGGCTAATGCGTTTTCGGGAGTGTCATGGAATAACTTTCCAAGAAGTTCACGGAGAGAAAAAATCTGCTCCGATTAACGAAGCAAATGAATGGAAGCAAGAGAAAAATACAGATATTCTTCAAAAGTATAAACCAGAAAATGTTTATAACGCAGATGAAGCTGGACTGTTTTTTCAGCTCCCACCTGATCGACATTGGCATTTAAGGGTGAAAAATGTTACGTCGGTAAAAAATCAAAGCAAAGATTGACTGTTCTTCTGAGTGCCAATAGCACAGGGACACACAAAATTCAACCTCTTGTTATCGGCAAATCATTGAAGCTGAGGTGCTTCAAAAATGTGAAAAGTCTTCCAGTGGAATATAAAGTCAATAAAAAGCTTGGATGACTTCTAAGTTTTTTTCTGAATGGTTGTTGAAGTTAGATAAAGAAATGAAAAAGAGGAAGAAAAAAATTGCTTTATTAATTGATAACTGCACACTCTTCAATTCCAAAACTAAACAAAGTCGAAATTGTTTATTTCCCAGCCAACTGCACTTCGATTTTGCAGCCACTCGATATGGGCATAATTAAGTGTTTCAAAGGATACTACAAGAAGCGTTTGGTTGAATCGATACTTGTCAACATCGAAAATAAAGTAGAAGACCCGTTTAAAACTGTGAATATTAAAGACGCATATGCGTCACATCTGTGACATTATTGCTGGTAGTTGGTGGGAAGTCACAGAGAAAACCATTCAAAATTGTTGGAAAAAGGCCGGTTTATGTGTCTTGGAAGATAAAATTGTTTCTGATAGTGATGAAAATTCCATAGACAGTGATCTTTCAGATGATCAAGAATGTGTTTCGAATCTTCAAAAACCTTTATCCCAACTTGAGGAAAAAATGGGCAAAACATATGGTGTTAACGTGGAGGACTATTTAAGAGCGGATGACGAACTCACAATTTTCGCAGGAGTTAGTGATGAAGCGATTGTCTCTGAAATTACAGATGAAATGGAAAATAATGATGTAGAACAGGATGGTGATGATAACCCATGTGAATCACAGTCCGTATTGTCACCCCATGAAACACTTCAATCGGTAAAATCTGTAAGGACATTTTTCTCAAGTCTTCCACTCCCAAATGAAAATCATTTTTGAGCATTGGACTCAATGCATACTTTGTTGACTTAACAGTCAAAAAAATGAATAAACAAACAAAAATATCGGATTTTTTTCAATAAAAATGTTTTTTTTAAGGTAAGTTTGCGATTTTATTTTCTGTATTTATATCCATTGTTTTTAATGCTTAACCATAATAAACACTCTGCAAATTAATTTTTTCTATAATATATAAATATATTTATAGTTAATGAATATATAACATTAAATTTAAAAAAATCTTATTGCGTCTCAGAATTATGTGGGCCCTCGATATAACAATATATCCCTCTACAACAATATCCTTATTTGGTCTGCAAAATATTGTTGTAGCGAGGTTTTACTCTTTTTGAAAAATCTTGCTGACAACCATGATAGTAACACATATTAATATATATGCTTAATTTTTTAAGAATAGTGGTGATCAAAATCATTTAAAAATTAAGTTTATAAAAGAAAAAAATATATATATTTACTAGCACTTTAAATATAAAAATAAAATTTTACCCCAAAGGCTTAAAAGTTTAATAGACAGAAACAATTAGCACTATTTAAATTTTCTAAAGAACAATTAATGAAACTGAGGTTCTATTGATAACCTTTTTTCTAAATGTATTTTACATAACTTAGCTAATACAAATACTTTTTTTTAAAAAAAAGGAATAAATTGCATTTATCTTTATAGGAAAAAAAAATTTATTTTCTACCTAGATCTATTAGTGAAAGAATATAAGAAAGAAGCAAGAAATAAAATCTATAAACTCTTCAAGTATTGAGCTCCCGGGAAAATTATTATGATTTTTCTTATTCTGTAATACTTTTCTGTTGAATAACATGGGGAAAATTGGTTCTTTGTTACAGGAAAACTGTTGGTTTAAAATCTAAAAAATGAAGGGACTAGCGCTCAGGTGGTTAGAGAGAGAGAGATATGGCTTATAAGATAATTGGGTAATTTTATGAGTATTACATAATTTTAGAATTATTTAGGACACAAAAACAAGAACTAACACTTAGACAGTTAATAAGATAATTTATAAGTACATAAATTATTTTCAACAGAACAAAGAATGTTTTTTTCTAAATTTTTGAAATTATTCATTACTGAAGAATTGTCATAGAATTTAATTTTTTTATTAAATATAATACAGCAATTTTTTATATTTAAGAAAAAACAAATGAAATAGATAGCAACAAAACTTACATAAATCTGTAAGGAAAGAAGAAAAAATATAATATAAAATAAGGGAAAACAAATTTTTGATATATTTTAAAATGAGCATAAGTCAAACTACAGGCACTTTAAATGGCTTATCACGTTTTACTCTTGGCTTTCCATAGTAGATAAATCAGATGATATTAAAGAAAATGGGGCATTGCATCTTAAACCCTATCAGCATAATTATGTTGAAGGGGGTTCCAATGAACTTATTTACTATAATTCTGAGAAGAAAGAAAAATACGAAATTTAATTAAACTGAATAGGAAAAATTTAGAAAGGAAAAATAGTATATTAATATGCTGAATTTTTTATCAATTCTGAATTAGTGCAAAAAATAACTAATTTGAGAAATTGGCACAAATGAAACTAATATTTGCTTCTTTTAAAATTAAAAGTTTCAAAATAAAATATTGGAATGATAGTACATTATCATAAATGATAGATGAAAGCTGATGAGAATGAATTAATACATATAAAATGAAAATAATTTCTTTATCTTTACAGTGAAAAACAAATATGAGGCTGCCAAGTACTACACTTTTTTTCAAAAGATTTTAATGAGTGGGGGACAATTAAAAACTAAAGCTTTTAGAACTTTTGGTAATGATGCCAATCTTTTAAAAGCCTCCCCACAAAAGTGCTTGAATTAAGTGGTATTTCATATAAAATTTTGAATCATTTACACTCAGTGGTGTGAAAAATAACTTTAAATCAAATATAAAAATAAATACATCAATACATAAACTTAGCTACCACTAGAAAATTTTTTTTCTCAAAAGGCGTAGGAAGTTGGCAGCTCTACAAATATTATATATTTCAAAATAATATATATTCAAAAAATACAGCTTAGCAAAATAGTCTGGATATTTTAATCCCAAATAATAAAGAATAATTAGTGATCACAGACACACCAAAGAATGATGGAGCTTATACTGAAACATAACAGATTATGTAGTTGCAGAAGTACATTTTTTATCAAATCATACATAAAAAATAAATAAATTTTTGAAACATTAGGCTGAATATTCAAAAAAAATAATTTATATAAGAAGTAGGCATAAGTTAACTTTCAAAACTGAAATGACAGCAAACTAAAACATTTTTCCTAGTTGAATGACAAATATTTTGCTACTCATTACAGTTAACTATTGCATTACCACCTGTACTTTAAGAAAAGTAAATATGCTAAGTAATTAAAATTTAACGTTAACCAATATTTCACCAATACTCAAAGGTTTATATTATTTCAAATAAAAAAAAGAGAAAGAAGCTTTAAAACTGCAATGAAGTGGAAGAACTTTTATATTAATACCACTTAGAAACAGTAAGGTGAATTTATCGAAATTGAAAACTTTGTGGGCATATTTTTATTTAAACTTCATAGGAATTTTTTTTTGTTTGTCATAAGTCACTTCCATAAAACTGTTTTTAGACAAGAAAAATACCTAAATTTTTTATGGAGCATCTAAAAATCTGAAAATTTATATACATTTCTTTATGGAAAAAATTGAATTCAAATTTTAAAAAAAATGAGAATGAGAAAAAAGAAAACAAATTTTCATTAGTTAATATATGTTCTCACATGTTATCAGTCATAATGTATAAGAAATTACATATAGTGTGTCCAAACTCCAAAGAAACTCTCAAATATATTAGGAAATATTAATCAGATATAAAAATACAAACTAGTTACTTTCAATTGATGACTTCAATACTACCAAACTTGACTTCAATGTTTTCATAATTTTTGGACACCCTGTATAGGATGGTGCCATCAAACTTTTTTAGAAGATTACTTCACACTTTTCAAGCTTGTTTTAGCATTATTTTAATGTCATTTTTTCAAATGACACCTGAAACATTTTTACTTTTTCCTGAATATTTTGAAATTTTAAAAGTAAATCTTTGTGTCTTACATTTTCAAGGTAGAATGTTTATTTATGAAATGTTCTTTCAGGTATTGGATGTTAGGATTTAGAATTTTTTAGTATAAACTTTAAAATATTTGTTAGACACATGATAATTGATCTTTCAAAAAATTTTTGGACCAATAAAAACACATCAGTGCTCAAAATGCTTGCTTAAAGGCTCTCATGCTTGAAGGTTAGAATGATCAAGATAAAACCATCAAAAATGTTATTCTGTCTTTACATTTATTACTTTTGAGAGCTTGGAGTTTAGTGTTACAAAAAATATAAGTTTTTGTCTTCTTTAATATTTTGCTCTGGTATGGGTTTTAATATTTTTCACATATCTGATATAAAAATCTTTTTAATGACAATAGTTGCAATATTAATTTTAATTAGCTAAATTAACTAGCTAAAAAAACTTTAATGACTCAAGAAAACTTAAAATTTATTAATCAAAAAGATTTTATTGACGAAATAGAAAATCTTTCACTTTACAAAAAATATTATTAACTGTATAATTTTATAAATAATATAATATAAGACATCAAAAAAAAAATCACTGTAATAAAATAACTTTTGATAACTACTCATAAAAGAGCTTCAAACAAAATGGATTCTAAAATATTAATATTGGCCTTGCAATTCCATTAAGTATTAAACTTTCATGTTGAATGATAGAGAGCGTTTTTTATTTTTTATTATTATTTTTATTTAAAAAAAGTTTCTTATTATGGTCACAAAATATTATATTTAAAAGCAATATAGTTATGTCCTTCGGTTTGCTGATTTCTAATTTCAAAAAGACTTGGTAAGAGTTAGATGCAATGCCTTAATGATTATGTAAAAATATATATATATATGCAAGTAGTAAAAAATAATTACAAACATTTATATTTCAGAAAAAAATTTACAACCCACAATAAATTCAAATTTCGAGTTATTAACAATCAAAAATAGTAATTACAATTTAGGAGAGAAATTACACATCTTTTGACCTTTTCTTTTTAGAATAATAGGTAAGTGAATAACAATGACAAGAAAAATTTTACTTGTTTCACAAGATGCCAAATTCAAAAATAAATTGTTCAAGTTTTAAGTGCATATGCCAACAATTGAAACTGTATGATGCAAGAAAGAACCCCTGTATTACATAAGTGGTAAGCAGATATTTTAGTCAAGCCAAGACACAGGACAACCAATTTCAGGAGTCAACATGTGTTTATAGAAGTCCAAGTTAGACTAAAACAGTTATGCCACAGTCAATTTTTTTAATTATTCATAGCATATAGACGAGTCCATTCCTTAGCTAAAATGAAAATATACTCATTAGAATTAATTAAAAATAGAAAAAATTAATTTTTTTAAAAACCCTAAATTGAAGTCAACAAATTAAGCCACCAGTATAAGACAAATTAAGTCTTAAAATAAATAATTTTTAATTATTTTTTTTAAAATAGGAGGTAACAAGCTAGTTAGCACAGTTTATAGTTTTAGCGTTTTTCATTTTTTTGTCTCTGATACTTACACTAAATATGTAATTTTTATCACCTAATCTACTTATTCAAACTGTTAAAAATGCGATGAAATATTTTAAGATGTCACAGAACAACAAAAGCTTTAGGTGATTGACAGAACTTCGCTTGTAGAAAATCATATTTGCTCCAAATACTCTTTGGAAGCTATTAACACATAGAAACAACAATAGATGAAGTGTCCTTAGATTGTTAAACAGTAATACTACTAGCTTTCAGTGAAAAAAAAAAGAGAGTATAATGTCAACATGCCTTACTCTCATCTACTTAAAATTCAAATAATTTTTTTTATTTGTTTGGGTTTTTGGAGAGTCTGGGATTCATTCTTCAAGATGATCCAAAGACAATATTTGCACCTAAGCACACTAACTGACCTCCACACTATGCTCCCTAACCACACATCTGTGCATGGGCTTACAGAGCTAGCCCAAACTGAGAAAATTCATTTGCTCATAAGTAATTTTTTCCTAATTTTTAATGTGACAATTATTATTAAAAAATTAAATATGATCTTTTCATTGCTTCTACTGAAAATAAAAATATATAAATTAAATAGAATAAATTTTTACTTTTTCTTAGAATTTCTGAGATAAAATACTCATTAAACAATACTTTTAAAACAATGCATAGTGGTTCAAAACTCAATAAAAAAATTGTCAAAAGCTGATATTTCAACTGTATTTTCTAAAAATTATCAACATATGGGCTTCTGAGGTTGCTGATTAAGAATGTAATGTTAGAAATTCAATATTCAAAATGGTGGTGCTTAAGTGCCACAAATTGAAAAAACAAAATTTATTATGATAGTATGATAATTAAATTTGCATTCAATTAAATCTGCATTCTTATGAACTAGTTTAAAAGAAAATAATTATTTTAATAAATTATGATATTTATTGGAATATTTTATAAGATTGATTTATTTACACAAAATGTATACAAAAAATTTATCAAATTTTAATTATTTTCTACAATTAACATATTTTACTATGGAATTAAGTCTTTTAACGCATATTTATAAGTATTATCCTGTTGAGAAATAAGCAGATCACGAATGAGTAATAATCGCATGAACAAATCTTCACCATTGTACAATCTAAAATCTTTGAATGAATTAAAATTTAGATAGATCTTTAAATACTAAAAAATTTAACAAGACTTACCTATCTTTTAGAAAATTATTCAAATAATAACTAAATACATTTTATAATTGCAGAAAATCGCACACTATTACAATTCTAAAGATACAATTCTAAAGATTCATACCTTATCATACAATAAGGATTCAGTCCTATAATAGCACTATTCTGTTATGTTTCGATAACATCTGTTTACGGGGTAAGATTGGGTACTACCTAGTTGTAATCTCCCCTTGATGTGAGTCTATGATAGGCCAACAAAAGCCATAGAGTAGTGAAAAAAGATAACTACTACCAAGACAGAACAATGGTCTAACCAGCCTCAGGGCACAATTTATTGTGTGTCCCCTTTTTCAAACAAAATTTTCAACAAAAAACAAGCAGCTTTTAAGCACTTTAAAAAATGTGCAACATTGAAATTTTTTCTACCTATTATTGAAAGTCTTTCTAATAATTTAACGAATTTAAAAATATTAAATTGCAAAGACATTTTCAAAATGTTTAAATAATCAAGATAAATAAATAGCTTATTTTTGGCACAGTATTCTTGATTTTATTTGAAATCATAAAAACATTTAATACAAAAATTTATAGATATATATTTAATATGGAGTTGGTCACTTTATTCTTTACATTACATTATTAAATTATGTAAAAATAATTTCTTCTTAAAATTACTGTTAGTGACTATTATTTTAAAATCTAAAAACATTATCATACTGAATTGCTAAAGATGAGGTAGACAAAGCAAACAAAGACGACTTAAGTAAATTCATATTATAAAGGTAACTTATTGAATGACCCCTATTAAACTTCAATTTCAATTTGTAATTTTGTTCATTACTTCTTTAAATCAAATGATTAAAAATAGCTTCAATAATTTAGGAATAAAAATTAATTCAGTGAGTATTGCAGCTAAATATTATTGTATGGTTCCCATATTCCTTATATTTAATAAATCGGAGACTGTAGTATCGTTAATTTCAAATGGTTTTAAATCAAAAGATAAAAGGAAGAATTCTTTAGCAGCGAATAAATTATTAGGGAAAAATTTACAGGGTGTCTACTAGGTCCCAGCAAAAAAAAAAAAAATCATGGCCTTTTTTTCGCGGCATTTTACTTTAATTTTTTTTTTTACAGAAATTATTCAATTTATGCAAATGTCAGTGAATGCATTTTACATTCATCTGATTAGTAAAATATAAAAAACAGCAGAAATTTTTCAATAACTATTAACCAGGTATACTGAGTTTTTATTGGATGAAATGTTGACGACATGCTTTTCTGAATACATTATTCAAATAGACAAATGGAATAATACTGTATTTCAAGTACTGTTATTTTTCTATGCAATTTGACTTTCCGCACAGGGCAATTTGGCAATGAAAATTAAAGTCCAAAAATAAATTCGTTATCTAAAAGTTTTAAATTATCATCTCTTCTTCAGCCTTTCTCACAATAAAAAATTCATGGAATTATTTACATAGAAATATATTGTATTGCTTATTATTGCAAATTCAAAATTTTATATTTTGCTTTGTGCTGAAAAAATAAGCAGCTTCTGATTTTCCAATTGTTTCTCAGTTAAGGTTTTATTCTCTTTACTAAGAGTTCGGAGTAAAATACACAGAACATTAAGTTTCATTTAACTTTTCATTTACACTGTTATTGTTTTCCAAATTACTCTGTTCATCAATTACTTTCTGCTAGTTCAAAAATTTGAAACTCTTGAATTTTTTTTTCTTTGAGACAATTTCTGACTGAGTTTTTTCGGATTTCTTATGTTAGAAAATAAAACTTCCTTTAAACTAAATTTCTAAATAATAATAAAAAAATAATTAAAAAGGTATAATTCTATTTCTTTTTTGCTACTATCCATACTTTTTTGGCCATTCACACATGCTTTCGAAAATTTTGATGTTTTTAATATAATATTATTATGACATAAGAATTTGCATCTTAAAGCATATTATTATATTATATTTAGAATTTGTATCTTAAAGCAATGTTATTTTCTGATAGTTTTTATTTTTTAGATTTTTTTGCATGCTTTATTTTTTTTTATTATGAAAACTTTTAAATACTAAGTTATAATCTATGTTTTGTTAAAACAAATAAGACAATAAAGCAGTCAAAAACATTTTTGACGCTTTTCTTCTAACTCATTATACATGTACCAGCACAGTACTTTTCTTTCTATGTTAAACTGCAAGTTCTTGTCTTTATTTTCTTCTTTTCTTTTAGAAAGAAAAATTTCATGTACTGTAAAAATCAGTAAAAAAAAAAGGTCAATGGAAAAAACTTGTTTTTTTTTTTTTAAATAATGTCTGTATTATTACAACAATTATTTAAAGAAATGGCAAATTAAAATTACAACAGGGCTGTTTGTATCTCGGACAAGAGAAAAACTGGTAGCAAAGCCATTTCATTACTGTCTTATTTTCAGGAATAAGGAAAAATTATCTCTAACTATCAAGACTGATTACAAATTATAACATATATACAATACTGTTTATTATCCAGGAGAAAGTATATAGAGTTGAATAGTTTATAATTAAAAGCAACAGCTTTATCAATGCTTTTCATCAGCTGTAAAAATACCATATTAAAAAATACAGTGTGGAAAAGTCTGAAAAAATAACTGAAATGAGTCCCCATCAGTGGCACACCCAGTAGGGTTTTCAGGGTTTAACCCCCTCCCCTAGGAACTGCAAGAAAAGTGGGTTTTTTTAAATTCATTTCGAGTTTCCGAAATTCATCTACACAAAAAACTTTCTTAAAGATAAATTTTATTTGAGAAAGGAAGTCGAGTATTTTTCTGAGCAAAGAGTCTCCTAACATAATATATTATTAGAATAATTCGACAGGCTTTTTTTTTTCACTTTCTTTAACTCTTTTTGTGTCCCAGAAAGAGATTGAACTATCTGGGAGGGAAATGATATATTTTGAAAACCTAACAAATGCAGATAAAGAGACTTCTTTGGTATGATGAATAGGATTTATACAGCTACCCATTGTCCACACTAGTATTCATCAGTTTCTTTCATTATTAAGTGAAATGCAATTTGCTTGTACATGCAAGCCTCAAGTGGTAAAACAAACAAGTCTTAGCTTAATGCATTTTTTATTTCAACTTCCTGCAATATTAGAGAAATATATTTAGAATATATTTTTTTCTACAATATAATTAGAAGAAAAAGAATGGGGTCATAGCTGCAATTCCAAAAAATATGGTCATAACTTAGAAGAGCGGTTCAAAGTTTGGACTCCTTAATGTTGATTTTACTTTTTTGCATATTTTGCCTTATCTCAAGAACTTTTTAAGCAATTTGAAACGATTCAATGCAAAAAATATTTAAATTAAAAATAGAAGAAAAGTTTTGAATTGTAAGGTATACAACCTTTTACATCATTTTGGAGAAAGTAATTTTATATGGCAAAATGCAAAATTTGTACAAAATCGGTCAAATAGTTTCTGAGAAATTGAATTTTAGAAAAGTTGAATGATTAAAATTAAATTTCTCACAAACCTTTCAACCGATTTGGATCAAATTTAATACTTTGCGATATAAAATTCTTTAAAATGATTTAAGAATTTATGTACCTTACAATTCACATTTTTTTTTATTATTAAGAGCAATAATAATAAAAAATTCAAATTTTTTATGGAATTATTTTTTGATAAACTAATTTTATAATTATGTGCAAAAAATTTTCAATTCGCTTAAAAAGTTCTTGAGATATGGCAAGAAACTCAGAATGTAAAATTAACAGCAAGGGGTCTAAACTTTCGTAAGCACTCCTGATCAAACTAGTGGCACCATATTTTCTAGCCAGCAGATACTTCAAATATTTTATCTTAAAATATCATTTGTACTAATTAATTAGCATATTTGAGGTCATCCCCAAGAAAAATTAAGTTTGAGTTCTACAGTATGTGGAAAATCTGATCATTAGATTTTAAGTTATTCAAGGTTGTATAAAGTTCTTAAGTATAAAGAAGAAATTATATTTTCTGAAGAGAAAGTTCTAAAATCACTTCATTGAAAGATCTAGGAAAATGGACTAAAGTGAAAAAAGAATTTTTTTTCCCTTCATTTTTACTCAATCCATGTTTTTATTTCCTCAATGTAAATTAATAAACAATTTATTCACTGTGTAAAAAATTTTATTTTTTGATGAAAAATAATTTTTAGTTAAAAGAATTTTTATACATTACAATAATATTTAAAATATTTTAGTGTTCAACATTCATGAAAGGTAAAACAGAGATTATCATTTTTAAATTCCCTCCCTAGAATGATTTTCTGGGTGTGCCATTGGTGCCCTAAAACAAGATTAGAAAATTGCTCTGATTTATAAAGGCATAGTTGCAAATATAGCAAATTGAAAAGTTATTTCCCAAACTTGGAATTGACATGCTAGAACAATATCGTATTAAAAATATCTTATTGAAAAAAATGTAACTGCTAAGAAAATAGAAGTATGTTTTCAGTTGAGAAATTTATATTTCCCTATATGTGTAGTTGTGTATTAAGTTTAGAAATAAAATTATAAAAGAACTTATTTCCATTTTTTTTGTCAGTTATCACATTACAGGAGAAAGAGTACACAAGAACTCACATTGATAAGCAGGTTTAAACAGAAAAATAATGGTTTCAGTTTAATACAGAAACCTGTATTTAAAAATTATAAGGTTTAGCAGGAGTGGAGATCATAGACTCAGGGTACTTGTGGGGTTTGATTATAAGGATGGCATCAGGCCTGCACCTACTTACTGCTACTGGTTTAATTGAAATTAAAAAAAATTGTATGAAAAAATTTTTGAAAAATTTCAAAACTAATTACTTATTGAATCAACATTTAAAAGCATTTTGGGAAGCACCTGTAGAAAAGAAAAATATGCACATCTAGAAGGATTTGAAAGACTGCACCCAAATTTGTATTACCTTTCACAACAGAGTTTACTCCTGAAATAAGGATATATATTTGAAAAAAGAAACATTATTCAACTGAAAAATCATTAGAAACAAATCTTTTTTATAGTAGAGACTTTTGTTTTCAACATCCTACTAAATGAACCACGTCCATAGGAAGTATTTTTTATATATATAAGTTTCTTTAATGAATTAAATGTTTAATTTATTAGCAGAGCTTAGTTCAGTGGCTTTTAAAATGTGCTAAAGGTTAAAAAAAAAAAAAAAATGCACGAAGCAAAAATAAATGAAATGTGATAACAAAAATAAGGAAGAGGAAAATTTACTTGCAGAAAAGCTAGTGCACTGCCTGCAGTCAAGTGCTGGGCAATTTTTTAAATGTAACATAACTTAGGAACTCATAAAATCATGGACACTAATAAAAACTTATTAATTACCCGTTTTTATTGCTTCTGCTTCATTTATTTTCCATTGTTCTGCAACATCATTTGCCAGTGGATCATCTGGATTAGGAGCACTAAGTAAAGCCTGAATGGAAAGCAACACAGTTCGTATTTGTAATGCTGGACTCCATTTATCTGAAAAATGTCATTTTTTAAATATATTTTAACTGCTTTATTTCGTGTTTTAAGTCTTGGTGTAAAAAAAAAATAGATTGAAAATGCTTGAAAAAAACTAATAAATTAAATACTTGAACTAAAAAAGTTAAATTTTAATGGGCTAATTTTAAAAACAATTTAACACTGAAACATAAAGCGATGAAATTAGATGAAATATACTAATGGGACATCACAGATTTTTAAGAAATTTTTTGCAAAAAAGTACTTGCTGAAAAAAGACTGAAATATAACTTCAAATGTCTTGGAGCAAGACTACGATAAGGGTTCGATCAAAATTTGCCTCAATTTAACAAAATGGCGTAATCATTGAGGGTGGTTCATAAGTTAACTATGTTTATATCTTTAGCATCCAGGGGTCTGTCTAGGTTTTTTTTCTTCTTCTAGGGTCCTATTTTTGTGACATAACTTCGATTTTTGTGAAATTTCATTTTTCATTTTGTGAATTATTTTTATTTTCGTGAAAAGGATTAAAAAACAATATTATTGGCAGAACAATTTGCTTTTTTTATTTTAAGCAGACACTTCATTTAAATTCTCATTCATCAAGTGAAACAAAAATATTGGCAATCTCCATTTGATTTTCTACTAGAAATTTTTTCACCGTGCCATATCTAGAAGAACTGGCACATTGAATTAAATTATTTGCAAGTAAGTTATAGTTTGGGGAAAAAGATTTAAAAATTTATCTGAGCCCTTTTCCTCAATTGGTTTCATAATTTGTTTATTGATTTATTTTTTTTTGCAATACTGAACATATGGAGAATTTTGTCCAGTAGAGAGTTGTCCTCATTTCCTTTTTAAAAATCCGTAACATAAAATTTAAAAACCAATCAATAGTTCCATAAATATTTAAGCTAGGCATACGAAATTTTTAAGTATAGGAGGATTATATTTATTATTATAGAATAATGTAATTCTACGTTACATTTTAAGTTATTTAAATCAGTTTCTGATTTTATTAACCGTTTTACAATTATTATTTTTTGGTGCAAATTACATTAATGTACTATTATGAATTACGTTTAAGAGATTCATTAAATGATTTAAAACTTAAATTTCAGCTTCATGTACAAAGTGAGAAAAGCAAAAATTATATTTAAAATACATCCGTCTGTTTGGTAGGTATAAATATTAAATTACAGTTGTGAACTCACCAAATTTCTTATAACAATATAGTTTAAATTTTAAATGTTATTTCAAAATGTGATTACTTAAAAAAAATAACTTACGTTTACTTATAGATCCTAATAGTATCATAAGGGAAATATTTGGACATGGGAAATGGAGGCAAAAGTGTTCTTTTTACTACATATATTTTTAGTTGAACGATTTCATCCGTTTTATATAAAAAAAACAGCAATTATCAGGGTTGGTGAGCATTAGACATCAGTAACACATAAGCCATCTTTTGTAGTTAAACCATTTTGCAAAAGTGAGTCAAATTTCAAAATTGCCTTCTAATTGTATTTTCAGTATAAAAATTTGAAAAAATATTTAGTCCTCTTTCATAAAAATATGTTGTATGATAGCATACAATTAGTCCATTTCACTTGGTGGCATTTTCATTAGTTCATTTTACATTTTTAAAGTTTTGAAACACTAGGTGGGTGTGAGATTCAGAGTAGTCACCTTCTTAGCTAATGAAATGCGTTATTATTGTATGTTGCGCTAATGAAAAAAAAAAGTTCACTTGCAAGGTATGAAAATATAGTAGCTATTTTCAAGAATATAAATATTTGTTCGACGGAAATAAGTTTCTATTGAAAGCAGTTATAGAGTTTAAGAAGATAACTTTATAAAAAAAAAACATATTTTTTAAAAGAACAGAGAAATAGAAAAAAAAGAGTATTAGGCTCATTTAAATAAACATTTGTTATCGTTACATCAGAATAAAAGAAAAGTCAAGACTGTCTGGTGTTAAACAAATAAAAAATGTATTTGTAAAACGAAGTTCATAACTGTGATCTAACTTTACAAAACAAAATAATTCCTGAATTAAAACATACTTACCTTCATTTATCTAAATTATGTTGATTGAAAATTATACACATTCATTTTACATAAAAACTCAAAATCTTTTTATGTACCTCCCAACAGAGCTGTGGCTAACCCACGTGATTAATAAATAGAGAATTATATAAACTAATGTAAAATCACTACTAGCAGAATTTAAGAATTTTTTATTTGCAATTGCAGACAAACCTCAATATCTCAAAGAAAAAATTTGAATTATCGAAAATATGAGTTATCAAATATCAATAGTAGAATAAAGAAGAAAAAAAGCCTTTTTACATACTTTTTTAGAAACTAATTTATTCTTTTACCGTAATATAGAGTAAATAAATTGTTAACTAAAAAAAGAAGATTAGATAATTTTCTTAAGAGTAGAGTAGGACAATTTATCAATTTCACTTCCTTAGTTGGCACTAACTTAAAATGCGATCACGGATATATTGGGTTGACTTTTTACATATTTTCCGAAAATACCCACAGCAAATATTTTTTGTTAATAAGATTTGATGGGGTTTTTTTTTCCATCCTTATTTTCTAAAAATGCACAAGAAGCTTTATTTTGTGCAAGGATATCACTTAATTTTTTTAGAATTGATGACAATGTGTTGCTTGAAAGTTTGAACTATTTTAAAATTTTTCCAAGAACATTTTTGGATAATTTGCCTCTTCACCTCAACGGTAAGATTGTTCAATTTCCATTTGCCAACTATTTTGAAATGATGACTTACAGATGATCTCATAAGTTCAAAGAATTATCTCTTAACTTATTAAAATGCAGTTTTAGATAGCTTAAATATGAGGCAGCATAGGCATGTATTCACATGTTTCTTTCACCACTTACTGCATTCTTATTTAAAACTACTCAGGATAATCCCCTTTAACAAACATTCAATTGGTCAATTCAAAGACACCCATCTCATTCCCGTAAATGTCTTTATTATCAATTCTGTTATAGCCATACCATCCCCTCCAGAAACTTGGTGGTCACTGTGTATGCATTGCAACTGACTGAGAAAAGATAAGGAAACAATAAAAAAAAAAGGTTTTTTTTTAACACTTCTCTTCATAAATCAATAGTTTTTAGTTTTTATTGTGATGTTAACAGACAGTACATCTATTAATTTAAAAGTTTATGCATGGTTTTCCAGCATATTTGCTAAAAAGCTTCAGCATGTTTAGTAATTTTATGATTTCTAGATTTCTTTTTTTTTTTCTTTACACATTTACAAAAAAACATTGTATTTGTGGGAAAAAGTTCGAATTATTGAGGGAAGGAAAAAGAAAATCGTTAAAACAAAGTTTTTTTTTTTTTAACATTTAAGTATCAGGGGTGATTGTGAGCCCATCTCAAAAATCCTGAAAATTCCTCGAGTAAAATCATTAATGATGCATTTCAACAAATTAATGCCCTTATAAATTTAAATCATTGATATTTTAAAAACATGAAATTCTAAATAAATTATAAACAGCATAATTTAAATTAATAATTATGTATATGTTTATTTTTATCTCTAATCACATTTATTATTCTACCAGAAAAATATTTACAAATAACAGAGATGCCAAGTATAAATTCTATTTCTAATGTTTTTAAATAATATATCAAGAATTTTTACACATAAATGTGATCAATGATTTTTTTAAACTTTTGGACCGGGGATTTCCAGATCGCAGTTAGCGAAAATTCCAGATTTTTACGGACAATCATTTCCGAAATTGATAAGAAAATTTAAGAGAATTTCTTTTCTTCAAATAAACAGAAGTTTCACTGCGTTTAAGTTTTATAGATATAATTGAAGATGAAACACTATTAGAAACAAATGATAAATATATATTTGAAATAATTGCTATGTATAAAATTGTTTTATTTCAGCTTTAATGATTTTTTTTTAAAAATTTATAAATGTAAAAGATTAAAAATAAAGGATTGAAACTTAGGTAGGTAAGTAGGTACTTTATTTATGTCGCACTAGAGCTGCACAATCATCCATAAGAGTTATAAGTTTCAAAAGACAGGGCATCTGCTACATTTTAGATTTTCAAATTCATGACTTTTCATGATTTTCCAAGACTAATTCCAAGAAGTTTTCATGACTTAACAAAGTTACTATTTTACAATTAATGAAGTTACTAAAACGCAACAATAAATTAAAAAAAGCATTATAATAACATTAATTGAAATGATAGGTATAACCAAAACTGCTATACTCTGCATCTTCATATTGGGCGATTTCACAGTATTTGTAGCCTGATGTGTCAAAATTTTTTTTTTTTATTTGATACAATGTGTTGTATATCAAATTAAAGATAATTAAACATAGTTCATGAATATAAAATTCTTTTTAACTAAAATTTGATATTTTTTTAAAGAATTCAAGAAATATGTTAAAAAATGAGTTTGAAAGTTGCGGACATGACAAACAAAAAGTTAGTTTTTTAGGTTACTAAACCACTCAAAATTTTTAATTTAACATGAAGTTTTTAAAGCCATATTAGATTCAAACAATTTAGGAGCTAAAAAAATTCATTTTTGCCTTTGATAGATTATTAAAGGTGTTTATAGGTTTAAACTGCAGTTTTTTTTATTAAAAAATTTCCAATTTGTTTTATACAGATTTTATTTACAAGTTTAATTTAAAATTTTATTTTCCTCTGTTTATTTACTATGCTTAATTTATATCAGTCAAAAAAACCTGATGATTTTATTATTTAATATCTTTTAAAAAAAAATTAAATTTGTCATGTCTGCAACGTTGCAGACATGACTGCTTATTAGTACCTAACTGATGTAACAAAATAGTTAACAATGTAAAAAAATATTTAAAATAAAAGTTTAAATAGCATAATATGGCAACACTTAAATATCTTTTAATTTGTGTTTGTAGACAGTTTTGGATATTTTAAGCACATGACTATTGTTTACTTGCATATTCTCGTTTTATTATGCAAAGTTTACCTTCTCATAGCTTTAAGAAAAATATTTTAAATTAAAATTGTTTACCTTATTTTAGCATTTGTATAAATTAAAAATGTTGTGTACAAATTTTTGCAACTTAAAACAAGGTAAGCATAAGCCATGTCTTTAACTAGTACTGAAAGATCTCGTATTATAAGACAAAAATTGAAAGCTGATCCCAAAAAATATGAAGCAATGCAAACTGAAGCAAGCAGAAAAAAGAAGGAATACAGACATTCCAAAATACTTACTGAATAGCAGAAGATCAACATAAGGGCAAAAAATAAGGAAGCACAAAAAAGATGCAGGGAAATAAAGAAAGATGCAGAAATAATAACAGATTCACCTGGCTACACAAGCAGACAATCATTGGGTAAAGCTGTTAAANAGCAGAAGATCAACATAAGGGCAAAAAATAAGGAAGCACAAAAAAGATGCAAGGAAAAAAAGAAAGATGCAGAAATAATAACAGATTCACCTGGCTACACAAGCAGACAATCATTGGGTAAAGCTGTTAAAAAAAATCATTAATTCACTACCAAGATCACCAAATAAGAAAATTCATGCATTGACAGATGTAATATCCAAAATATCCCCTTTGAAAAGAAAACAAATAATTAAAAATTCAATCAAAATTAAAAGGCTGCTGCTATCTGAAATTGATCGAGAAAAAAAAGATGTGACAAACTTTCTGAAGAAACAGAGAAAAAAGTAAATGAATTTTTCATAAGAGATGATATAAGCCGAATGTGGCCTGGAAAAAAGGACGTAATATCCTTAAAAACAGATGTAGGGCGAGAAATACACCAAAAACGTTTTCTTATAATGAGTATTGGAGAAGCACACCAGCTTTTCTTGAGTGAAAATCCTGATTTTAGTATTGAAAAATCAAAATTTCATGAAATGCGACCAAAATTTGTGTTACCATCTGGAAAAAAGGATCAAGAAGTATGCATGTGTGTATACCACGAAAATATTGACATGATTCTTTCGGGAATAGGAGCTCTCTCTCCAGATCTTCCAAGTAATTCAGAAGCAATCGCAAAAGAAACTGTTTGTGGTTTTGATGAAAAACATATTAGCTGTATTGATAGACTGTGTTCAATATGTGGTGTTGAAAAATACTTGGATGATAAAGTACCATTTGAAAATCTGGATTGCACAGTGAAGTACTATCAGGGGCAACAGAATGAAGTGGGATTCACTGTTAAAAGGGAAATAGTTACGGTTTTAGGATCTGCTAAAGAAGAAATTGGTTCGCAATTGCACCTACTTTCTAGACATACTTACAATGCTTCTAAGCAACATTTTGAATTTAGGTATTCAAAAGAAAATCTTTCTAATGATGAAGTTATCATTCATGTAGATTTTGCCGAAAATTATTCCATAAAGCATGATCGTGAGATCATGAGTGCTCACTGGGAAACTGATAGTGTTACCCTGTACACTTGTGTTACATATTACAAAGATGAAACAAATTCTTTGGCTCATCAGTCTTATGCTATAGTGTCTGATGATTTATCACATAACAAAAATTCTGTAAAAATTTTCAATGAAGAAATTGTGGCCCATTTAAAAGAAATTAAATGTGGTAAGATAAAAAAAGTGCACGATTGGTCTGATGGGGCTGCAAGCCAATTCAAAAACAGATTCATGTTTTCCAATTTAGTTTGTCACAAAGATGATGTTAAAATAGATGCAGATTGGTTGTTTTTTTAAATGGCACACGGAAAAGGTGCTGTAGATGGCGTAGGGGGATCTGTAAAGAATAAGGTCTGGCGAGCAGTACTACAAGGTAAAGAAGTTGCTGTTGATGCAAAGTCCTTTTACGAGGTTGCTTCTAGAATTATGGATGGTAAAATCAAAAAAATTTTTATAAGCAAAGAACCTGTTGACCGTAAGGCAATGATGCTTACAGACCGTTTCAGTCAATGCAAATCAATAGCAAATACAAGAGGTTTGCATTTCATTCGCCCTATATCATTCAACTCAGTAGAATATTCTATAACTTCTCCTTTTTCAAGTGCACAAACTATGTACCAGGCAACATTATTTCCTGAATCAAAATCAACGATTCCATCATCATGATCATCAGTTAGCTGCCACATCAAGAACAGAAAATGAATTAGAAGAAGGGCCATGGATTGCCGTACTGTTTGACGATAACTGATGGCCTGGCCTAATTATTTCAATTGATAAACACACTATGACACTAAAACACCATTTCAAGCCTGTAGCAACTAATAAATTCAAGTATTTGGAGAAACCAATGTTTGAAACCATTTCAATTAATACATATTTATCTTCTTTACCAGGTGACCCAGCACCTGATCCATCTGCATGTTATTTTTTATATGATTCTAAGGTTGCATTGCATGTCAAAATTATAATCAATAAATTATAAAGTAAAATTGCATTGCAATTTGTCTATAATAAATTTATTTATTTAATTATTAATAAAAATTAAATAAAATATGTAAAATTTTTACTTAATAAATATTTAAGCTGTACATATGAAAAATAATATGCAAAAATTTCAAATAACAGTAATTCTAACAAATAAATAGAGATGTAAACTTTTCGTCATGTCCGCACCACTTACATTTTAAATTATGTAAATTTTAATTAAATCATTTTAAATTCTGAAAAAAAATTGTAATTTCCTTTATATCTACATATATTTTAACCTTTTCATGCCAAATGTGTTTACTTATTTTGAAAAATTCAGAGAAGTTGAGGTATATATTGAAGACTAGTGAAAAATAAAGTTTTTCTGCGTCATGTCTGCAACACTTCAATTTTTTTTATTAAAATACTTTTATTTAAATTTTATCCAAAAATCTTCTTTATTTAAGAAAGAACAATATATAAAGCTTTTGTAAAAAAAAAATCACTCTATCTTAAATATTTGTTGAAATATGAAGTATCGAACTTTGAAAACGTCATGTTCGCAACGTACACAATACTGTGGAATCACCTTATTTATAGATTTTAAATTTAAAAAACAGAGTAAAGAAAGAGTTGAAACAGTAAAATAGCTGAAAAAAATACAATGCAAAATTATATTCTAAAGATATTTTTTTGTTCATCAGAAAGGAAAGAAATACTCCTGATTTTTCTGTTCTCATTTCGGAATTTAAAAAAATTCGCCAATGACTGGTTTGCTTCAACTAGAATTTTAAATTGATAAAATTAAAAAAAATAAATAATAAAAATTCTTAAATCACAGAAGAGTTTAAAAGATAATTCGCTCTAGAAATTATGTTTTTTCTTTCATTTTTTGTAAGAACACCATAATTTTTAAAGAACATGATAAAATCATTTTATATTTTAATAAAATATGCCTGAGTGGTGATTTTGTTAGGAATTCAGATATTTGGAACAGGATGAAATTGGGATAGGGGGGGGGGCAGGAGGAATCCATTTTAAAAATTAAGATTTTTCGGAGACCTAAATCCATGACGTTCCATGATTTTTTTAAAAAAAAAAATAGTAAAAATCGTGACATTTCATGACAAATTTTGTTCAATACTGAAATTCATGACTTTCCATGATTTCTCATGACTTTCCAGGTGCGCGGATACCCTGAAAAGAGTGAGAGTTTCAAAAATCCATGGGAGTTAAAAGAAAAAGCTTCCTGGAAAGTTGAAAATATCTATTTAAAAACTCTCTCTTCAAATGAATTCATAAACTGCGGTGAATTCTGATCTAGCTTTAAAACGTCTTGTGTGAAAACTTTTCTCAGAGATGAATTCTTTATAGGATCTGCGAAATGCTCTACAGCAGTGAGTGCTCTCCAAACCGAGGGCAGCAGACTGGTATTGGCCCAAGAATCGAATGGTATTGGGCAGCCCACGAAACAATGAAATATTTCCATTTTATTTACTGCAATGTAGTTCTCTTGGGTTTGTATGTTGTATGACTTTTGATGGACAAGAGGTTATCCGGGAGACATCACCTAAATCCACACCATATAATTATATTTCATTTCAAAGACATGTAGGTAGGCAGGTATTTTATTCATATCGCACTGAAGCTGCACAATGGGCTATTGGCGACGGTATGGGAGACATTCCTGAGGATGATCCGAAGACATGCCATCATAATTTCGATCCTCTTCAGAGGGAATGGCTCCCCCGCTTTGGTAGCCAGACAAAATGTGTGCGAAGTTGAGCACTTTACGATATAACAGTTTAAGGCAGGGTTCGCCAAGTGGGCCTACTTTGAAAAAACCCACCCGGGTTTTATTGGGTCGGCCCACCTTGAAAAAACCCACTTGGAACTTTAAATAGGTTTTCTCAAAAAAAAAAAAAAAAACATTTTTTATTAAAACTTATTGTTGCACATTTAATTTTATATAATTTATTGTACAGCATGAATTTGTCAAATAGAGTTGCAGAAATTATATGATTAAGTTCTTAATATTTGTAAAGTAAAAGAAGCTCGAATCTATAATTTTATAGTAGGTACTATTGAAAACTTTAAGTGAGTGCTTTCAAAAAGTAATATTTTAATAAAATTAAATCAAATAGAAATTTAAATAATATAGTCTGAATATAGCATGCTTTATATATTACTGAATATAGCATGCTTTATTAATAGACAGGTTATTATTATTAATTCATATGTTTAAAAAAATTAAAAAGAAACATTCTTTTTAATTACTAAGTTATACATTAACAAATTTAAACAGTTTTATTTTCTGGCTTTAAAAAAATAAGCTAAAACTTTTTATACAAGAACTTTTTAAAATTATTTATCTAAAAATGAAATCATTTTCCTAAGGTAAATTATTTGGAAAAAAAAAATAAAGTAACTGATACTCTTTATAATTATACGTAATTTTAATTTCACTTTATATTAATCTTATTATAAAAACATGGAAGACCATTAAATATTTATTTCAGTTTTTCAATAAAGTCAAAAGTCAGATGAAATTTTAATTTTTACTGATTATAAATTTATAATAGGTAATTTATATATGCTTAATGAAGATGGTAAATAAATGTGTGTGAAAACAAAATGATTAATAAACTTTTTTCTTTTATATTACTGTTGCATTTATATTTTATAAAGCTTGAGTTAAAAGTTGTGAAACCTTATGTCTTTAACAGTAAAGAAGATTAAAATNATTTTGTAATGCTTGGGTTAAAAATTGTGAAACGTTATGTATTTAACAATAAAGATTCAAATACGTATTAGTGATAATGCATTATTTAAACTTAATATAAAATACATAAAACAAAATTAAAATAACATTTTAGATTTATTTCTATTTCCAAGCTTATACTAAACTTTTTAATAAATAAAAATATTTACACAGTAAAACTTAAAGTTTATGACCACTAAATGAAAAACCCAATTTCCCCTGAGTTTATCAAATAAAACCCGATTTCAACCGGGTTTTTTAAATAAAACCCAGGCGGGTTAGGTTTCTTCTAAAATATCCTGGTTTTTTCAAACCCTGGTATAAGGTGGGCCAATACTGCACATCCTCAGTCCATACGCAGGCTGATCAAAGTTGTCACCCACCCGTTTACTGTCGGCAGTCAGTGATGCTTGACTTCGGTGTTCTACTGGGAACCAAGCCTTTACAATCCACTGCGAGACAACTGAAACTTAGTGAAAATGAAATAGCTCTTTATTAACAAGACAATTTAAGATTGCTGACTCTCATTTTTTATTTTTGTGAAGAAAAATTACCCATTCCGGGGGACAGGTTATAACTTTTCTTAAGTGTTGAAGTGTTCAGCTCATGATCTTTGGCATATTTGTCAAGCCATAGCATTTAAATGGAATCACTGATGTTTTAGGGTGATTGGGCTTGAACAAAGAGAAAATTAAGGTAAGAATCAGAATAAGGCGAGTAGATTTAAATTGATTGATAAAATATTGGTAAAAAGGGATCGATCTTGAGTGGCTTCGAAAAAATAATTTCTAATCTTTACTATTGCAACAAGAGAACAATGAAACGAAATGCGGAAGTATGCCAGTACTGTTTTGCAATTGAGTTATCTTAAATCATTACTGAAAATGTCCTAAATTATTCTAAAACATTTGTAAAAGTGGAAATTTTTAAGAGCCATCTGCTCATAGTGACTAACAAACAAAATTTAAATACATATACTATTGATCAAAATACAATCAGAGAACAAATTTAAAGCAATTGTTCACTTAAGTATAATTGATGAAATAACATCTTCTCTAAAGCTAACAACTTTGGAATCCTTTTTCCCAATACTATTTCTTTGTGCGTAGTGTATATATTTTTTTAAAACAAATATATTACTTCTTAAAAAGGTATGTAAAAAAATAATTATCTTTATCTTACTGTTAATAATGTCTTTCGAGAGCTTGAATTTTATATATTTTGAATTTTTTTCTCTCCTTTCAAGTTTGAGATATCAGGATTTGACTGTGCACATACATGTTTATAATTTAATACAAAAAGTGTTCACATAGTTTTTATTATTAAAATAAACATTACCTTCTAAATCTTACCTTTTAAAATATCTAGACATATACGGCCTAATTTATCAATATTAGGATGATATATTTTGGTCATAAACCTTACTTTCGGAGCTGACATAGGATATTCCTCAGGTAAAAATAATTCTAATTTAAAAACTCCACCTTCAAAAGGAGACTAAAAAATAAACAAATATTTTTCATAAGACACACAATAAATCTATTAGAGTTTTATAAAAAAATTAGCCAATTTTAAAATGTTTGGCATAAATACAGATTTGTGAATTGGGAGGCATTGAATAAAATGGGGTGACATAGTGCTACATTTTTTTGAAGTTCAAAGATATTTAACAATGGTTAGAATATAGGAAATATTGAGAATTTTTTGTTACTCTCAGGAGCTGAAAAATCAGTCATTTTTGTAATCACTGATTTTAGTTGATCTACAAAAATTTCATTTGATAATTTTTTCTTTCTTCTGCTGACACATTGCCAGCAAGATTCTTCAGTTATGTGAGATCTCATGTAGAGTAAATATTTATAATATTTTAGCTAAAGTAAATTGATGTTGATAAGACAACATGAATTTACGGAAAAATCTTCCAGAATATAGCGCCTCTTAAGAAAGAAATGACTTAACTGTGTGATTCAAAATCCAGTAATTATGTATTTAAAAATTTTGAAATATTGAGTATGTCAAGTATTGAAGTGCATGATTCAGGGCTCCAAAAAACTCAGAAATTTTACCCGTCCCCGAGGACGGCATGTCCAACAATGTATCCGTCCTCTTTTGAAACTAACCCGTTTCTTCTGAATAAATAAAAACATAATTTCCTCTTATTTATTACAAACATTTATATAAATTGCAGAATGAATTAGTAGTTACTAGGATTACATTATACAGTAATAAGAGAAATACTAGTTTACTAATAGTAACCTAGTATTTATTTCTATGAAATAATTTAAATGACAAAAGTCAATTTATCTGAGGGTACTGCGTTTTTTTTAAATGAATTAAATATGACGTTTGCCAGTTCCACAATCAAGCCAATGATTTACAGAGGTTTTTGCACAGAAATCTGAAAGGGGTTATGCATTTAGGTAGATGTTCAAAATTGCGTTTAATGCCTCTTGTTTAAGACCTGTACGTAATGTGTTTTTTTGTAAGTTCATTGCTGAAAATCCCCTTTCAACCGCTACAGTACTCCCAGACAGAGAAAACATCAATTCTACCATACGCAGTATGTTGCTGTATTTCTAGATTAGAGGGTCATTTTAGATGTGAGGCGCTAAACTCTTGTAAGATAACAAAAATTGAAAATGTATCACGAACATAAACGGGAAAATGGCCGTCCGCGCGGACGTCAGATTAGAGAAATTGTTGTCCGCAGGGAATTTTTGACCGCCGAGGACGGGCAGTTTTTCGAGCCCTGGCATGATTCAAATTTCACATGTTGTTATAGAATTCTATTAAAAATATCAACAATTTAAAAACCAAATAGAAATTTGTCATAATGATTATAAAAAAAGTTAATGACAAAACAAAGCGAATTGAAAATTTAATTGTCAGAAAAAAAATTACTTAATAGCACTTCTTGATATTCACGGGTCGTAATAATGGATTGAAATATCAAAACTTTAAAAACCATGTGGAAATTGGTAAAACAACTTCTGAAAAAACAAGCTATAGGCCAATTTGGTTTAGGATAGAGTTGTGCATTTTTTATAAAATAGTTTTGGGTCTATAACTTCAACTTCACAAATAACTTAAATACCTAAAATCTACAATTCTCCAAACTTTTTAAACCCCAGAACAATCCAGATTTTTGAGCAACTAAAAAAATTTTTTAACAACTTATCTCCATCATACAAAATTTCATTTAATTTAAAATAGTAAATAAATAATAAAATATGGCACTTAGCAAATGTAATTATAAAAAATTTAGATCAAGTTCCTTTTTCTTCATAAGATTACTCATGAAAATGAGTAGAATAGATAAAATAGCTGTACTTTAATCACTTTTGAATAATTTTTTAACTGTCCATCAATTCAATATATCAAAATTTTGCAATTTAAGAACTGTTATTGAAGTCTTAATGGAAATAGGGTCAACGCAAGAGATTTATTTTCAAATACGCATAATAAAATTAGGTTAATATACAGACTTCATTTTAATGGTTTAAAAGGGAACAACACAGAAATTTTTTTAAAACAAAAGTATAGAATGTTTTTGAAAATTTATCCTTTTAACCTTTTCCCGTGGGCTGTGACAGCAGTTGTCACATCTGACCTTGGGGTCCTCCGGTGGGCATGTGACACTTTCAGAGTAGAATAGGGGAAGGAATCTCCTCCACAGCTAAGAGAAAGGATCAAGTTACAGGGGTGTGTGTTTTATTGTTTTAGTCACTACGGGAGGTCTCTCCTTTTTAAGTTAAGGGAAGAAAAGTTTCTTTACTTTTCCCACCTACCTTCGAAAAGTTTCTTTACATTTCCCACCTATCTTCTAAATAAATAGGAACTTTTTTAAAACTTTGATTTCAATTTCTGTTTTGAATAACGAAGTCATTGTTACTTTAAAATTATTAATGAAGGAAGAAGTATTGTTTTTTTTTTTAATGTAATGTTCATCAATATTTTTGAGAATACTTTTGAATTTTCGATACTCTTATATTTGTTTTGTAAGATTTGCAACATAATTCTTGTTATACGGGTTGTTCATAATTCAGTGCCCTTAGATTCTCGCCTCAAAATTATATTTTTTTCGTTGGTCTTGGTGACTTAACATGATTTTTCTCTATAACATAAGCTTAATAGCCATTAGAAGTTAGACACTAGAAAGTCAGATATATTCTAAAAAAAAAAAAAGCTTTTCAAAGAATAAAGAAATTTATTGAAAGCAAATTTAAAACAAAGTTGTGCGAAACATAAAACTAAATATTTGTTTCTCAAAACTTTGATGAAACTTAATATCCTGCTTTGTTATATTTCACATTTGCGTTAAATACACCAAATTACATTTTGAAGATAATATAAAAGCTTACAATAAAATTTTGAGAAAGAAATTGTTATGCTAATGTTGTGTATCTGTGAAATGCCCTCAAGAGAGCTGTCTACAAAAATAAGACATAACAACTAATTATGATCTTTCCCAATATGTATAATCTTTCGATGAGATGTTAAATTTTCAGCGATGTTACAAATATTTATAATGTAAAATATTGATAATTATAATATATAATATAGATATTTATAATTAACTAAATTAAGACCACGAAAAATAACTCTTTATGCATATAAAAATTTATTCAAAGAAAAATCGATTTTACTCACGAACAAAAGGGTTTTTCCACATTATGATCCAATTTCAATGCATAATAACTCTCAAGAAGAACTGATTTCACACTTAAAACATAGTAATCCTCAAAATGCAAGAGAGGACAATCTATGCGTTATTTATGTGAAAAATGGATATAAACCGAGCTTTCCCCTTTGATCTTCGAAATTTCTGACGTTTTTTAAATCAATAAAAGATTGTTTATGATCACTGTACACCTCATTAGCTTTTTTATTTTTTGTGGAAACATATAAATAACCAATCGTTTTAATATGGCATCAAAAAGCTTATAAAAATAGATATAACTTTAATAACTGATATAAATATCGATCGTGAAACCAAACTGAGATTTTCAAAAACTAAATTACCTGTTGAAACAATATCCCAAAGAACAAAGTTTTTTTTAACTATTCCTCAATTGTGCAATAATATTTCTACATTTTAAACAGTAAAAAGTTTAAATGTTTCATAATAATACATTGAAAGTATTAATGTAAAACAGTGAGCAAGGACATACCACAATTACAATAATTTTAAATTAAATATATAATGAAAAATACGATATGATAGATGATGACGATAGATTGAGAAAAAAAAAACTTTTTAAATAATCTTTAATAGAAATCAAATGTGAGAAGGATAAAAAATTCAATAAAATTACTCACATGATGAAGATTTTAATTGTTAAAATAGTTTAGAATAGATATTGTCATTGTAATCTATAGTTTTCTTTTTTTTTTAATTTGTGCGTGCATAATTTTTAATAGCTAGCGTAATGAATAGTTTTTCGAAACTATGGTTAGGATTATGTGTTGTTTATAGAATTTAAAATAGAATGTTAGCATGCCTGACTGCAGGTTCGAATCCCGCTATGGGTGTGGATGTTTCTCCTTATGTGTCCTCTGTTGTGTGTGATGTGGCCAACCCTATGAACGGTTATTTGTGGCAGTGTGGCGTGGGTAATGTTGCTCGCCTTCATGACTTAGGTTCACAGGTGCCCACTGAGTGTAACGTTACATGAGCAACACTTTCGGCATCTTCCGAGGTGAAGAACGAAAGTTCAGTACCAGCCGTTAAATAAAAAAAAGAAGAAAATATAGAATTTTAAAAAAATAAATAAAATGAGGAAATTGTGACACACCACACTAATTCTGAATGTTTGTAAAACACTATAAATAGTCAGCATGTCAGTGTGTCAGTATGTAGTTTTTTGTACTGAATCGTACAAAACTACCAAAGAAGTTTTCCCGCGCTTTTTCAGTTGTCTTAAAAAAAAAATGAGAATCCTCCACCATTGGTATTTCTATTATCCCACACTGTGGTGGTGTAAAAGATAGCAAATGACGTTTAGAATAACAAAGGGAGAATAAAACTCTCGGGGATGTTTAACACTCATCACTTGACTTGCCTTAAGGATTAGTGGTTCCCTTTCATGAGTTCATCCCCCAGTCTCAGAAAGAGCCCACCAGAGGATCTAGATTTCTAATTTTTGAGCTCACGTGAAAAGGTTAAGATTATTGTATCAAAATATTGAATTGATTTCCTTAAAAATATAATTGTTGAGTAAAGTGCATCACGCAAGACATACTGTGACAAGCATGATCAAGTGAACTAGTGAGCTATGTTGATCAATAGATTTGCTCACTCCTATCAAAACATTTTAGAAAATTATTATTTAAACTATTTTAATGAAATTTGTTTAAATTATGTAAGAAAAAGAATTAATGGTATTTAAACATAAATAGTAGCAAAATTTTATGTGTCTACATAGATTATTGATCACAAAAATTTAAATGCGATTAACTCAAAACTATGCTGTATCTCTAACTAGTACAATTTTCAACTGATTTACTTCAAATTTTGACACAACGTTCACAATAAACATGATTTTCTTTGCACATAGGGATTTATTTAATTGGGTGTTATGAAATTATAACTTATTTATGTCCTTTTTTAAAGTTTTTTCAAGACATAGCCATTTTGTGAAAAAAATTATTATCTAAAAATCCTATGTGCAATGAAAACTACATTCATGCATTTTTTAAAAAAAAAATGAAGCAGAATCAAAGTTGGATGATTTTTTTTTAAACTTCTAAATATAGCAAGGTAAGGGTAATTTAAGAGATAAGTGATAAAAATTGCATTATATAAGTGGTACTTTTTTAAATTCTTGTATTTGCAACATAAAAAAATGAAGATTAAAATATGTACAATAAAATAAAATTTATTAAGTTAATTACAATCATTGCAATGCGCCGGGATAGTCTGGTTGGTAGGGCACTGGGACCGTGACATGGCCAAGAGATCGTGGGTCCGATCCCCATCGGCCGAAGACTCCCCGTGTAGTAAATGGTGACTGATGCAGGTTAAATCTGTTGAGTCACAAAGTCTTCCATATTTCCATAACAAATCAATATCTCTGGGGGTACTGATCCAGGAGTTTCCTTGTCTTCTGGATTGGTTCAAAATTACAAGGCTACGGAGTTGAACATAAGTAGTCGTAAACCCAAAAAATAGGGTCAGCTGTTCAACAACGGATATAAAAAAAAAAAATCATCACAATGTTCTTACTTTTCTACTGGGTTGTTCTCTCTCAAGCAAACTTCAATATTTATCAGGGTGCATAGCCAGATTTTTCAAGAAAAAATAAGCATCTTTTAAGTACATTTTAAGCACAAAAAACTATTTTTAATCACTTTCCAAAAAAAAAAAAAAAATCATAATAAGGATCTCTGCAGTAATAAAAATTATTTTTTCCAATCATTTAAAAACACAAAATCAATAAAATTAAAAAACATTTTCAAGAACTTTACATATCATGATAAAATAGCTTGTTTCTGAAAAATATAGCAGAGAAAATTGTGAAAATTATACAGTTTTTGTAATTTAAAATGGCAATCAACACAGCAAAAAAAAAAAAAAAAAAATTCTCCTTCTAAAAGATAAAAAATTAAGCACTTTATAGAAACCCTGAATAAAAAAAGCACCTTTAAGAGCTCTTAAAAAACGTAAATCAAAAATAAGCACTTTTTAAAAAAGATATGCACCCTGTTTATAATTAATCTGGTGTAGAAAAATAATAAACGTAAAACATTTTGGTAACAGCTCCATATAGACCATGGGGTCATAGAAGACAAGACTCCATAATTTCACAATCAATGGCAGATGATGGAAATGTGGTCAGCATGTAGCATGGACTACCTTTACTTCCTGGACAAGCTGGGATACATCGATCTGAAGCTGGGAATCAAATCCCCCAGTTCTTCACAAAGTGCCCAACCACTGAGCTTTCATATAAAAAAAAAGGAAGATTCAAAAAAATAAATATTACGGATTAATAACAAAAAAGTGGTGCTTTAGTGTAATTTCTATGGGCATATTTCATTGGTTAAAAATTAAATTTTTTAGCTATTTAAGAGAGGTGAATAGTGAGCACATTCACAGATGGTTAGTAACAATTTTGCATGTTTGTGGATAATAAGAATTATTTTTTCATGGTCTGAGTGGCTTCAGATCAACGAATCATTTGATTCTTAAGGCAAAAAGGGATGGCATACTTCAACTAAAAAAAGGACAAAATGCTAAAACAAATTTGCACCGAAATTCTTAAAGGTGTTAGAATAGGTTAAAACAAACAATTAACAAGGTACATACTTCTTCAGGCCCCGCAACAACAACATGGAAATAACGAGCATTGCTTTCATCAGGAATAGCGCTGATTCCAGGAACAGGTTCAGCCATTAAACGTTGAGTTTCCTGAAAATGTTATTAAATATATATTGCATTGTCAATAAATTAACTACAGTATGAAATTAATTACAGTATGAAAAAAATAAACATAATATTTGTTTGGACATCAGTGATGTGTTAAAAAATTAAAGCCTACTATGTCAAAAATTTAATTTCCTTGAAAATAGAACTCAAGCAAAAATTAAGCTAAATTTTGAAATTTTGTTTCTTAGGGTCTTATTTATGTATCCTTTAAATCCTTCTTCACAAATGCATCTTCAATTTGTTTGATGTACATTAGGTTAGAAATTATAATTACACTCAAAACAAGATTTAAAAGAAACAAGTATAATATAAAAAAAGTTTCCTACTTAGGTCAAAAAAGAAAATTTTCATTTTACTTACTTTTTTATTAAATAATTAAAAATGTCCATATAAAACTAAAATTAATTAAGTTTAATTAATTAATGAATATTTGAAAAAAAAACTGTATTAACATCAAGTGTCATTCACTAGAAGTTTAAAAAAATTTAATTGAACTTGAGTGGATGAATAAAAACTATTTTATTAACACCTGAAAATTTGAACAAGATATATAAATATATATAGGGAGAGTGTGAACTAATATTAGGAATTGGAAAAAGGCATGTGGTATCAGACAACTATAAAAGTATAAATTTGGTGACATGGACCATTCTTTATTGAATTAACTTTATTGAAAAAATATTTTATTAACATTTGAAAATTTGAACAAGATATAGCCATGAGGCTTACGCTTGAATTCAAGATGGAAACTAACAGTGTGTCACAGTTTAAAACAGGTTTTATGGGAGCAACACCAGATTAGATTTCAAAATTTAAATTCATCATGAATATAAATGTGTGCCGCGTGGAACCAGAGTTAAAAGAACCACGGATGCATAATTTCTTTACATTTTCTTTCACAACTTTTTTGATGATTGGTTGTTTTTGTCTTATTGTTCAAAGAGGTCAAGTGATCACTAAGGTAACTGCTGTTGTTGTTGTTGTTTCTCATCCCCACTGGTCTAGTGGAGCTAGACCAGGTCCATGAGTCCATTCACCCTCAGGAAATAACAAAACAATACCGGGTCGCGCAGAAAATCCTCCTTTATAAAATCCACACAGCTAAGGAGGTGGGCCGGGCTGGCTGCACAGGAGAAACATTTGTTGCAGGTGGGATAGACTTTTCGCTGTTGTTCATACCTCATGCACTACCTCATGTGACCACTGATGAATCTAGTGAATGCGGTCTGATCGCCTCTATTACCCTTGAAGATCAAAGCACGACCCGGCTTATCCCCAGAGTACCAGATATGTACTGGGGGAGTATTCCAGACTAAGGTAACTAGTTAATTAATGTCAAATAAATAAGGGGTGCACAACCTGGTCACACGTGGCTTTTGCACAGATTCTATAGTATATCTATGTTGTTTATCGAAAGCTTTTTTTGTAGTAATTACTGTTGAATTCTGCATGAATTTTAAAAAATACAAAATTTTTATATGATATATGCATTTTAAGTTTGAGTAATCACTTTTTGACTTGCATTATTTTTGCCGATTTCATTATAAATAGAATCATTTTTGCGATAAATTCTTTTGCAGTTATAACTACCAATTTCTACACGGTTTTTATAAACCTGATTTTAACATACATTTAATATCATATTATGACTCGTGAATGCATTTAATTTATCACTTTTAGACCTACTTTTTTCATACCAATTTTATAATAAATTTAAATTATTTTTTAAGGCAATTATTTTTATGCTTTTCAACATGATTTTAAAATCCTGTATTTTTACTAAGAGATTATTAATATGTGAGAGTTTTAAATCACACATTAATATAATCACTTTTTGATGTGCTTTGTTAATACTAATCTCAATGTAATAAGTTATTTTTCAACCATTTTTTTAGGCAGTCATTGCTCTACATTTCATTATTCATGTTGATTTCATAGCAAATTTAAGCATGTCCCCCTGAACTAGTGAGCTANCCCCCCCCCATTTTTTGACAATTCCATTTTTTTGATTACAATAGTTTCTAATCACACATTTAATTAATTACTTCTCATAAAACATAACAAAACAGGGTGCGTGGCCAAATCTTTCAACAAAAAATAAGCACCTTTTAAGTACTTTTAAAGCACTCAAAAAAATTTTTCAAGCACTATTTACATTAACAAAATTCAAAATAATTTTCAAAGACTTTACACGATCATGATAAAATAACTAGTTTCCGACAAAGAACTCTATTCTTGATTATATTAGCCATTATAAAACGCTCGAGAGATTTTTCAGTTCAATATCAGAGGGTGGAAAATGGAGCCAGAAATTGAGAATACCTTGATAAATGCAGCAAGTTGCATATGAGAGTGTAATAATCTCACCGGAACCAGCCCAGTTGACGCACATGTGGATTCGCAAGTACTTCATGAAACATGTAAAATGATTGGGGCTTTCATACGCTATGGACTGACGGAATGCCTAAATAGATTGTGGTTGAATGAATTATGAAAACATTGTAAAAATCTCACACCAGAGTGTAAATTAATAGCTGGTGCAATAAAGCACAATAAAAAAGATAAAGAAAAATTTATGAAGATATCACTCTTCAACTTGTGGTCAATACTTTGAACTGGGGTTTCGGGATTAGATTTTTCACATTAGGTCAGTGTCAACAAGGATTAATGGTTTAAATAGATGACCTCAAAAATGCTAATTATTTACTGCAGAAGCAGAAAATATTTTATATAGCAAAATCAGACACAAAACATACTTTTTCTACATAAATATATATTTTTTTCTCACGCATTAGATTTCGGACCCTAAAAGTAAAGGATGTAGCTGCAATATGGAAAATATTGTCCCAATAGTTAGGATAGGAGAGTGATCGAAAATTTGGACTTTGTAAAATTCGCTTATCAAAAGACTGTTCAAGCAAAAAATGGGATATTTCCATATCGCGATCTGTCATTGCACAAACTACAATCGACAAGGCGCCAAATAGATTTTAAACTTGCAAATTTTCGTAAGGAAAAAAAACATGTAGATGTTTCTCTGGGAACGACTGAGTTATACCTTTCAACTTGGTCCCTTTCTGTGATGTTTTTTTAGTTTCTCGTGAGCCCCTGCTAGGAAGTTGCCAAGATTTGGCGATTATCCTGCCACGGATCACGCTTCAGAAATCTCCCCCCAAAAATAACTTCTGATTATTACTTTATCCAGTAACAGTCAAGTAAAAAAAAAAATTAGAATTGCAAGGTATACAATTTTTTTCATCTATTTAAAAACAATAATTGTATATTTTTCTTCAATAACAAAATTTTACAGAAATAAAATTTAGAAGAAATACTTTTACGAAAATCAAAATTTCAAAGAAATCATTCCTAAGAAATCCAATTTTAAATGCACGACTTTTATAAAATTTAATTTCTCAGGATTAAAATTTTATTTCTGATATGAACATTAAAGAAAATATAGAAAAATATTTTTGAAAGAATAATCAGGCATTTTGTTAAATATTTATTCTGCCAAAAAGTGTTATACATGTACACATCCAAGCCCAAGATATAAGGCATAGGTGGTCAAAAAGATTAAGATCTTACTGTCTTGAAGGAATAGGCTCTCAAGAGATGGTTGCTCAAAGTTCAAGAGATTAAGGGGATTTAAGAGTCTTTACAAAATCTCTGCATCCTGTTTCGGATTTGCTATAAAGTCAAGAAGGAAATCATTCTGCGTCATATTCACTTAGACACAATAAAATAACTTTTATAACTTAGAGTGAACTTCAATATATATGAAAATTCTTTTTTGCTGATAATTCTTCCCGATTAAATAGATACTTAGCCCGTCTTTTTCTCAACCTGATTTATGCCGCTTTATAGAATCATACCAAAATCGAATAAAAATTCTGACGAAAAACAATTAGTTTCTTGATGTCCTATTAAATCATACAGATTAAGAATAATATACTTCTGGAATTAAAAAGTTTATCACACAACTTGAAACAAGCAAGCAAATTACCTTAATTATCCGCCGAGGCAAGACCGCCATTGAGCTAAAGTTTGAAGTTGTTTCCTATGATTTTTCTTCAGGTAAACTTCTAGCAAAACGAATAAAATCTCATATATTTAAATACATTTATCAAATTACAAAAGCAAAATAATAAACCGGAAACAAATTTCAATTCCTCATGATGTTGCCAAAAATATAAGTAATCAGAACAATTAATAAACATGAAGGAGGCTTATTGCCGTTCGTAAATAGATATGCATAGGACTAACGTGACAAAGTTCTTGACTTGCACAGAAATAGTCAACTTCCCTCTATCAATAATTCATCCGAAAATGCGAAAAATGTTCAAGAAATCAACAAACCAGTCGTTTTATGTTTATGCCGGACATATTTTCTAAATTTATTAAATACAATTAAAATTCATGTTTGATGATTTTAACCTTTGGAGAAAATTAGGAAAGTTTGCTCATTTCTGTTCATTTTCAGTTGAGAGGTAATTTTTTTATACTCCAACTATAAAATAATACAAAAATTTACTGTCAATTCACTACTTACCTCAATGCATTAAAACTGATTTATTAATTTAACATTTCTGAAAGAATTAGCCTATGGGGATTTAGTTTGCTCAATTAATTAAATGAAGGAGTAAAAATTATCTAATCCAACTATTTTAAAAAAATAATTATTTATCACACCTGTTATGAACCAGCTTGTAAAGTGAACAAGAATATGGCTTGTTGTTGATGAGATAATTCAATCCACAGATACTGTTGATGAATTGATTCAAACCATAATATGCTTAAAATTTTTTTTATAGCGCATCCTATTAAAATGCAAACCCTTATACGTTTTTCATTAAATGTGTCAATAATTTTGCATTACTTTTTTGTTTAAGATCCTCTTTGCATGGTAATTCGCTACTTTGTAGGAATTTGGATTTCAGGATATTTTCAATTTCATGCCAACTATCATCTCCAAGATGCTGGGGAGATTTCAATATCGTGATCTGTGGCAGAATAATTTCTAAGTCTTGGCAACTTCCGGGAATATTTCCTTATCATGATCTGTCGCACCAACTACAATCGCCAAGATGCCAAATAGATTTTAAACTTGCACATTTAAAAAAAAAAAAAAAACTTGTAGATGTTTGCCCGGGGCTGGCTACGAGTTATAATTTTTGAGTTGGTCCCTTTCTGCGATGTTTTTTCTTTAGTTTCTTGCGGGCCGCTGCCAAAAAGTTGCCAAGACTTAACGATTATTCTGCCACATATCATGACACGGAAATCTCCCCAAATTCTGGGCAACTGCCCCCATGAGACTAAAAAGAAATTACAGAAAGGGACCAACTCATAGTCACCCTTAGGCAAACATTTACTTATTATTATTTTTTTTTTAAACTATTCCTGTATAAAATCAGATTGGTGATTGTAGTTGGCGTGGCAGATCACAATATGGAAATATCCCTAAGATGCCACATACAGTATTGTAGTTGCAACAATTATTAAAATAATACATGTTTATCGTGATTCTCCAAGGTAAGCTATGTGTTATACCCTACGAATTGATCCCTTTCTGTGATATTTTGTTTTTTTTGCTTGCCATTATCTGGTTGACTCCTAAATTTGGCAACTTTTCTTTGACCAATACTGACATCTTCTCTTAAATTGTATGCTGTTTTAAAATATGAGTGCCTTTTGCTTTTAAATAAAACAACAGTCATATCCAAATTTTCTTTTGATAAAAATCTAATCTTCATATTTTTTTTGCCTTTATCTCGTAAACACAATCTTAGCTAAATGATCTGTCCTATTCAATGTTGAACTGAGAAAAGTTAGAGAATTTTTTATGTTTGGAAAAAGGAAGAAAGAAAATACTAAAATAAATCAGAAAAAAAGAATTCTTTTGAGTTTTTTCCAATATTTTTTCCAAAAAAAAAAATGGATCTAAATAATTCTTAAAAAAAGAATTACTGATTTCATACTCTAAATAATTGTTTTTTAATATATTTTATGTATAAGAATAAGACATGACTGAAAATTTGATAAAATCAGCATGAAAAATTCAAGGAATTTTTTTTCCTGAGTTTTTATGTGTTCTCTGTATTTTTAAAATAAGGCTTCTTATTCTAAATAAATTTATTAGTCCTATAATATGATAGAAACTTAGTGTTATACTTTTTTCTTTTAATAACGTGTATTTTTTTGTGTGGAATATATTTGAAGTATACAGATGAATAATATTGTTGGAACTCCTGTTATGTGAACAAAAATGGATGTAATATCACAAGATCACAGTATGGTGAGTTCACAACAATGTTATAGTGGCAATTCATAATAGCTTAATAGCAGATAAATTAAGGGCATAATGAGCTTGTTGTTATAAGCAAATACACTTATTTAATACAGTCGAACCCCGCTATAGTGAACTTGGGATATAGTGAACACTCGGATGTAGTGAACTTTTTTAGCTGTCCCGTCCGTATTCCTATTTAAATAATGTTATTTTTAACGCTTATAGTGAACAGCTTAGAGCTTGGAAACTCGGTTATAGTGGACTCAAATTTCATTTCTTTAAATATCTTTTTCAGTCCTCCATCTTTAAACTTGTAGGTGTTGGGACTGAAAATGAATGCATTCCTATAAAATGTGTCATATTACTCTCCTTTATGCTTATCACTTTTAACTATACTGTAATAAATGTCAAACAGATCATTTATCTTATACTCCCCCCTCCCTGACAAGCCTCGCTTTATCTCTTTTCCCCAAGCTTGCTCTACAACTAGTTAACTTGGCCACCTGCTGAATTTTTGGAATTTTCTTATCTGTTCAAACCATATTCTTTACAAATCACCCCTTGACAATCAAGAAGGGGAACAATTTAACTCATTCTACAGCTGCTCTCTTCATATTCTTACATTATCTATTTGAGACAAGATTTTTATTTCAAAAGCAGTGAAAATGGCAAATTCTCTAAAGAGAAAAGCGTTTTCGATAGAGGACAAAGTTAAAATTGTAAAGCGTATTGATGATGGAACCAATCAATCGACACTGTGTAAGGAATTTTCCTTGTCAAAATCTACAGTTTCAAACATTTGGAAAAATCGAAGTGCAATTCTTGCGGCATACGACAAAAACATGGTTTCATCGAAAAAACTGCGTGGAGCTGAAAGAGAAAACGTAGAAGATGCTTTGTTAAGATGGTTCGAAATCTTGTTCAAAATGTAAAAATCTTGCATTCTTTGCACATTGTAGATAAGAAAATTGATGAACTCAATTTAAAATCAAATTGTGTTCAATCAAAAATCACAAATTTTTTTCATAAAAAGTGAAAATAAAACTAATATTTAGCGACGTAATTACTTTTTCCATCAATTTTTGCTTTATTATCTGTTAATTAGTTAATAATTTTTTAAATAACTTATGCAAAATTGCAAAGCCAATTTTCAATCATTCAACTGTCTTATGCAAAAAATATTCTTCAAAAAATTTGGATCTAGTGAACCATCGGTTATAGTGGACACATTACTGAGTCCGCAGACGGTTCACTATAGCGGGGTTCGACTGTATTATGACTAGATTATTCTAATGATTCGAGTGTTCTGTAGTTTTTCATGTCATTTATAATACTGGATATTGATTTCAATAATAAGATGTCAAAATATGTGGTCAACAAAAAGAGCATTCTTTTGGTCTGTACTTTAGTTTTCCATTAAAAAAAAGAAGCATTCCTAAATGTTAAGCAGGATTGATATGTATGTCTCAATCTGAGTATCAAGGTGGTATATCTCAATCTGAAAAAACCCAAATAGGTTTTACCATAATTTCATTTTATTATTAACAAATCAGCTCTAGTTAATTAGTTTATTTCAAAATAAAATACAAACTCTGTACATTGAAATATCTATATTTTATCTTTCTATATTTTACTCTGCATTAAAATGTTTAATTAACCTTTTTGAAAATAAATATATTTAGAAATTGAAAATATTGTACTAAGTTAGATTGGATACTGATTTTTTATTTTAAATCTATTTTAATGAATGGATTTCATTTCTTCATTATCATCTGCTATATTATTCTTTCTCTTTTTCTACCCCTTTTTATTCACAGTTTGTTTCACCTTCTTTTTGATATGGCTAAACTTGTTTTTTATTGAGACCATAAAGTAGAATTAATTATTGACAAATAGAAACACCTCAATTTTGTTTCTTTGCTAAAAGATGAATCAGGAATAATGAGGCGTGTGCACTATTTGTCTTTAGCTCACCTTTGCCCAATGAAAATAAAGTGGGAAAGGGAATGATAAAAATAGCATATAAAAGTAATATTTCCAAACAAACAAAAAATTTCTAAAATGAAATTAAAAAAATGGCAATGATTGAAAGATAAGATTTATCTGAAAAAATAGAAATTAAAAAAGGCAAGTCAAAAGTAAAATTAAAAAATATTAAAGAAATAATGAACAATGAAAGGATACGGGTATATATAATGCTGAGAGCAGCAGTAGCAGAAATTCTATCCTTAATATTTCATGTTTAATTAAGAGGTTTAATTTTCCAGAGTTGGTTATTATATTTCATTCTGATACAGAAGTTTAAAATTGATTATGAGAAGTCTAAAATAGAACCTATCATATATTCTTTTTCCGTTTTCTTTTTAGTTATTATTTTTCCTTAAAACATGATATGTTACAATATTATTATATATGTTACGGTATAAGTAATAAGCTGGTGATTATATTTAATAACCAGTAATTATGCATAATCACCACTAAATTTGGTAAATAAGATAAATTTTTGAAAATTTTCTCAGATTAACCAGTTTGTTTGCATAATTCCCTACTCGTAATGGTAAATGTGATAAATATCATGACTGATTGGACCAGTAGAATAGAGTGCAGTTTTTTTTTAGTAGTTACTACTCAGAAAGATTTTTTTTTTGTTGGACACTACGGTGTAAGAGACCACGAATTACAATATTTATATTTTACTATTAAAAAGTCAATAAATGGTTATTTGAAGTCACATACATTTATTTAGCCTGAACGAAATTTGAATAAGGGACTGACAGTTGTAGTGAAATGAAAAAAATACAATTTACATAAACTTGTACAAAACAGTTGCACATAAAAAAAAACTGCAGTTACATATTAAAAAAACAAACCAAGCCCATATTCTAGTAGGAATTTTTTTTTTTTCGAATAGCGTTAAATGCTATTACTATTAATTACTAAATATTTTAAGTTTACTTATTTAAGCATATTAGACTGTTATGACATTTAGAATTACCAAGTTTGACAGATTTTTCACATTTGCACTTATCAGACTTACATTGTCCCTTACAAACACATCGCTGATGTACCTGACTACCAAAAAGAGCTGTCTTTCTAACGCATTCTAGAAGTGATATTGCTAGATCTGAAACATCCTCAAGCAAAATAAATTTTTCTTCACAAATTCTTTTACATTTTATTAAATTCCATTTTCTTCACAAGCCAAGCAGTTGCACAAACTGAACGAATTTTTGTAAAGTTAGGGACTTTTATCACATTTACCATCACGAATTGGCAATTATGCAAACAAACCGGTGAATTTGATAAATTTTCAAAAATTTATCATAGTTACCAAATTTTGTGATGATTATACATAATTACCGGCCAATAATCACTGGATTAATCACATTTACCGTAGCATATATAATATAATATTTTTTATAATAATATCTTATATTTATAAAAAACTTTTTAGACTAATAAAAATACTTCTTTTATAACAATTTAGAAGCAGAATTATTAAAGTACTTAAAACACAAAAAAGTGGGCACTGTTGAATTTACCTGAGGCCAGTGGCCACCAGATAAATTTCCCAGCCTTGCCCTTTATTCTAAACCATCCAACTAGAAAATTTATCATAGTTACCAAATTTCGTGATGATTATACATAATTACAGGTCATTATATATAATCACTGGATTAATCACATTTACCGTAACATATATAATATAATATTTTTTATAATAATATCTTATATTTATAAAAAGCTTTTTAAACTAATAGAAATACTTCTTTTATAACAATTTAGAAGCAGAATCATTAAGGTACTTAAAACACAAGAAAGTGGGCACTGTTGAATTTACCTCTAGAGGCCAGTGGCCACCAGATAAATTTTCCAACCTTGCCCTTTATTCTAAACCATCCAACTAAGAGCAATGAAGTTTGCCATACAGATAGTTCAAAGCATGGAGAAGGTCAATGTCGACGTTAGCAGAGTTCTCCCAAGGAATAAAAAAGGGCAGGATGCTTCCTCACAGAAAAGGGCCCTTTGTGTTTTGAAAGAGTTCACATAACACAGTAAAAATTTATCAAAATGTGTAATATCATGTAATAACTGAATTTGATCCTCAACAATTATAAACATAAAATTAGAGCTCTTACACTGGATAATAAAAGGAAATTTGTAAAGGATAGAAGGGATTTTTTAATAATAAAAGAAAATTATGTCTGTTTTTCATTTTTCTGTATTGATAGGCTAGAAATACGAAAAAAAGGTTTTTCATTTTGTTATTTTTCGTATAACATTGCTCTGTTAAATGGAAAAAATGTGTATTTCCCTAAAATAAAAAATGGAGCAATAGCGGAAGTCTAGTTATTTCAAACTCATTATAAACATACAATTAGAGCCGAATTAAAAGTCCCTATAAATGTCCTTAAAAAATGTTAAACTGAAACAATGTTTTCCTCTTTAAAATTACTTTCATGCTTGTCAAAATATATTAACCAATGCAATGCACACAAACAATATATATATATATATATTGTATATATATATATATGTATGCATAGAAATATATACATACATACAAGTACATAGAGTAAGACCTAATGATGAAATGCCCACTTATAAGAAAAATAAAGACTCTATGTACTTTTGAATTGTGTTTGTATTTCATTAATTTTTCATTGCATTTACATTTCAATTTTTGATTTTTAAATGCTTGTTCGTATTTTGTTTATCCATTATGGNGATAACTTACAGTACTTGTTTGATATAAAGTAATTTTATAAGCCTAATGACATTTTAGCATTTTGCTAAAACTTTTTTTCAGATTTTAGCTTTTTCGCTAATGAATTTTTAGACTCAGCTTTAACCCTGGCAGACAGTGTGTCCCCTGATGAAGTGCTGTTTTGCTAACATGCATATTTTTAAAATTCTTCATTTTTTACCTGATTTGTTTTTCAAACTTTCTAAATTATTAAATTTTCAAATCACATACTACTAAAAACACATATTGAATTCTTAATTACAAATAGCGTACTGATTTTTATAATCAACTCTTAAATAATACGATATGTATTTTGCAAAATTTTCCAAAAAACTAATAAATAAATAATTAAAAAAAGTTAATAAAATACTTTAAGCTTTCTATTACTATATTAAATTTTATTACTTTAAATTTGAGTAATTCTTATAATATGACAATTAACGTTAGACTTTTGTATTGGTCGTTTTTAGTTTCTTCTGATTTTTTCCAGTTTCTTTCATATTCTGAGTAAAATAAGTTTTAACTGGATGAAATACCAACCCTGTTTAACATAAATATTTTTGAGAAGAACCATTTCTGCATAAACATTTAAAAATTGCAGATTTGTTACTATCAAACTGAAAGAATTTATATAAACAATAAAAAATTTAATCATATGAAATATTAAAAAAAGAAAAACTGAAAAAGAAACAGGCTTAGTTTTTAAAAAAAAAAAAAAAAAAAAAAAACGGTTTAAATTAGCCAACCCTGAAAGAAAATGCTAACTGTTTTGCATTCTATAACTTTTTTGTATCCTTCCTTATTATTTATCCTGAGACAAAATTACTGAATTTAGTTTAATAGTGCAGTTTTATGTTTTTTGAATTAAATAAATTTCTATTTCATCATTTTAGTTTTTTCTTGGTGCAAGTTGTGCTGAAGATGTTACCAGTAATTTATGCTCTTATGAGGAGTTATGCTCCTTATATAACTTTGCCTGTATCAATCATTATTGGAGTAATTGGATATAATATTGAGGGACTAATATCAGATAAATATACACCTACTAAAAAATTAAGCTTTGAAGAAGAAAGGCTTGAAAGGCAATTACAAGAAATGGAAAACAGTAGTGCAACCTCTAAGAGTTTGAAAACGAAATATTTTGTTCCTAAGACAATATTTGAAAAAAATACTTCAACATGAAAATTTAATAAATATGTGTGTAGTTATTGTTTATTTCTCAATTAGTTGTATAATTCAATAAAAAAAATTTGTGCCAAGAAATGTAGTATTTTTGCTTGAGATTACTTTCTGTGTCTTCCCCCTCCTAATAATAAAATTTTATTTCAATTAAAAGTCTGGATAATATCACTCACAATTTATGAATAGTGCGAATTTTCGATCACCTGAGCTAGCGAACTGAGCATTGCCTAATCAACAGGGAGATAAATCATCAGCTGCTTACTACAGCTTATTTGGCGAGGCGATATTTTCAAACGGATAATTTTGTTTTGAATGAAAGAAAGAAATAATTTCTAAGCTCAAATCTCCTGTATTTCATAAGATATTAATGATATTAAGTAATTCTGGTGAGTTTGAAGTAAAAATTTGTTTTAGTTATTTAGAGATATATTGTTAAACGAGATGAAATGGTTGCTAGATTTAGAAGGAACTCGCTTTTTTGGTAGTTCTAATTTGACTTCTTTTTATTTATTTATTACTGTTTGTTCTTGGTGCAAGTCGTGCACCATCATACGTTAGTTTTAGCATATTTTTTGAGCTGCGAGATTAGTTCATTTACAAATTATCATTTAGGTTTCGAAGTTGGTACATTGTTAACAAAGTAAGTATAACGATTCTTTCTTCAAATGACAATTTTTACGTAACTAAATTCCCTAGTTTAGACTGCATTCTGATAATTCAGCCAGTGAGTCTTCTCAACACATCTTGGATGTTTTTGGAGTGGAATCTCATTTCAGCTAAGTATCTGCTAATTGTCTACAGTCATCTTGGTGCTGTTTCTCTACTTTTAATTGTATTTTATCTCATTAAACACGGAGGAATTTCGGTTACATAAGAAATTCCCAATAGGTGAATTGCTTTGGTTAGATAATTTCTCTGCCCCATTTAGAGTATCCCTATTCTTGTTGCAATTATATATACAATCGGACCTCTATTTAACGAAGTTGCTAAATCCCGATAATAAGTTCGTCATAGAGAAAATTCGTTAAGTAGAAAATCATCTTTTCAAATACTTAAACAACACAAAATAGGTTTTAAATTCATGAACACTAGACATAATTGAAATAGCAATCGATACAGCTTTATTAATCATAAAAGAAATCTTCATGGAAAGCAAGAATAGAGCAAAACATTATCCATTGTTACGCTATCACGCTACATATATTTTCTACTAAAAAAAAAGCTACATTTATACATTAAATTATAGTTGCATTTATTATAAAAGTAATTTTAAACATACATTACCGCATGCGTTCTTAAGTTTAATTGCTACTCATAAAATCTGTTAATTTTGTCTGAGTTTTTCGTTTAAAATGCAAACAGAAAGGGATTTTACTGCTTTCTCTAAAAGTTAAGTGGCTTCGAAAATCAATTCAAGGTCATTTCCCCCGTAAAATGCTTTAACAAGTTTGAAATATTTTGGGAAAGTCGTTCTCAAAGAAAAGTTCTTAAAAGAAAAATTTACTTTGCTAGTTGGAAGTTNTTTATTATAAAAGTAATTTTAAGCATACATATTACCGCATACGTTCTTAAGTTTAATTGCTACTCATAAAATCTTAATTTTGTCTGAGTTTTTCGTTTAAAATGGGAACAGAAAGGGATTTTGCTGCTTTCTCTAAAAGTTAAGTGGCTTCGAAAATCAATTCAAGGTCATTTCCCCCAAGGTAAAATGCTTTAACAAGTTTGAAATATTTTGGGAAAGTCGTTCTCAAAGAAAAGTTCTTGAAAGAAAAATTTACTTTGCTAGTTGGAAGTTATTTTACGAAGAAATTTCCAAATGTTCTTAGTTCCTCGAAAAAATTTGCAATATGGAGGAATTCGCAAAATGGAAGTTCGTTAAATAGAAATCCAACTGGGTAGTTTGGTTTTAAATTCTTGATTAATAACGGAATCTATGAGTCAGAAAATGTCTGCATTATTTGGATGCATCGCAGATTGCAGCCCGCTCTAACAGAATACAGAGCATTAGAATAAGAAATGTTGCTACTCTCAGGTATGCAACATGATGTCATTAATTCACTAGAAAATAAGCAAAATAGATATGCTTTCTCAATGAGAAGTCTAAACTTCTCTCGCCCTGACATTAATAACCAAGTTGAGATTGCTAATAGTATCTCATATGAAATCTATAATGATTTAAAAAGTTTTAACATCAAACACAAAATTGTGGTGCAACCGACGCTATCTAATGCAAACGAAACAAATGCAGCTCCTAAGGGAGAGGATTTCCAAATGTTTTAATTCTGTCCAATAAATATCAAAGATTAAATGATATTCTCATTGAAAACAATAATTCCTCTAACATCCCCATACTATCAATGGATCCGAAAGTTGACGGAGGAAAAAATCAAATCTCCGAAAGCCCAGAAAGTTTTAGCAAATCAGCTAGCTGATGGATCGAAAATCTCGACCGTTTCAGCCAATAGTAGCTCTCAATTGGTACCTTGTGGAGACCTAGCCGGTATCAGTACCGAACGAATTTCTAAACCTAAGAAAAGATTATCAGGTGATTTTTATTGGGAGTATAAAGTTTTCTATCAAAAATGAGCAGTTTATTAAGAAAAAACGGTACTTAACCTTTTATTGAAAGTATTCTCCATTACTAGACACTACTTTTTTCCCTTCTTTCTCGGAGCATTCGGATACCAAGTCGGAAGAACTCTTCATCTTTCAAGAATATCCACGAATCGACCCATTCCTTGCTTTCTTCAAATGATGTAAATTTCTGCTCAGACAGGCCATGTGCCGGAATAGATGATAATCTGAAGAGGCAAGGTTTGGTAAATACGGCGGGTGGGGTAGGACTTCCCATTGAAGTTTTTCCAAATCACTAATTTTGATACCATAATGTGCAGATTCATTTTAATGTAAATCGCATTTTGTTTTCTGTTATTTTGTAGTTTATGGTGCAATTTTCCGTAAGCTTAAAAATTACTTCTGTAATAAAGAAAAATTGTTGTCGCAGTCAGCGCAAAAAATTTCCCCGCTTCTTACTCTTATAACACAAAAAATTATTCCATAATAAAGATTTGAAATTTAACATATGTACAGTCAGCAAAAAAAAAAAAAAATACCACTTTCGTTCTAATGATCGGATTTTCACGAACTAAGCGTCAATCTAAATGGTTCCTGGGGGTGACCTCAAACATGCTAATTAATTAGTGCTAACTATTAATTAAGTTACGAAATCAGACGCATAAATGTACTTTCTCTGAATAAACATATATTTTTTTTTGTATATTTGGATTCCTTATCTTCAAAATATAAGAGGTAGCCGCAATCTGGGAAATGTGGTCTCCATAGTTTGGTCAGGAGAGCGATTCAAGGTTTGGACCCCTTAATGTTAATTTTGCTTTTTGCATTTTCAGTCATATTTTAAAAACTAATGAAGCAATTCAAAAAAAAAAATTGCACCCACTCATAAAACTCATTTACCCAAAGATAATTTCATGAAAAAAATAATTTTTAATAATTATTTATTTTTTTTTACTATTTAATTAAAGTGAGAATGAAAAAATTTTGAATTACAAGGAATGGATTTTTTTAAGCCTAATTAATCTACATATTTTTCAAATGAAAAATCTAAAGTTGCAATTGTTTTTATTTATTAGAAGAGTAGAAAAATTAAAATTAATTATGTAAAAAAAATAATTTGGTAACAATGAAGAAATGATTAAATGGGGCGATTAATATTAAAATGTTATAAACTTACGAGGAACTTGACTTAGCTCGCGTAGCGTAAAATTTCATTCATATTTTTTTCACTAATAATCGTTTGATAATCTTTTAATTTTTTTAAAACTATAAAATACGAAGTTTTCTTTTTAGTCGTCTAAAAATCTATTTACAATTTAGCAAAGAATTTTGAATAAAACATTTTATTGAATAAAAAACATATTATTCAATAAATGTCGAGTTTTATAAAAGCATGTTTCTCATAGAATATGATTATACCACGGATTGTGCTGATTTAATGTGATTAATTTTAATTTTTATTTCTCAATAACTGATACAATTTCAATTATATACATGCGTATGAATAGATTTGGGATAAAATATTTATCAATTTCTGGAATATATTTTTTACAAATATTAATAAAAATACGTAGTCAACATATTTAAGCTTATCTCACATCATCGCAAATTTCTCAACATCTTATATATCGTCTTAATCTTAAAAGTAATTTTTTAATCACCTGTCCGGAAGTGTTTCGCAGAACTATNTTTTACAAATATTAATAAAAATACGTAGTCAACATATTTAAGCATATTTCACATCATCGCAAATTTCTCAACATCTTATAGGGTAAACTAACCAGTGAAGGAACACTTAAGCTTAGCTTGCCTTTAAAAAAAATCAAAAAAATTTCAAAATTTGAAATTTTAGCTAAATGATGGTGTCGACATATTTGTTATTAAATTATGCAAAAGAAATTTAGATAATTTACATAATATTGTTTTAAGCTTTTGGTGGTTTAAATAATAAGTAGTAAGATAACCAAGTGAAGGAACAGTTCTTACCAGTGAATAATCACTAAATTTTCCAGTGAATGAGCACTTAATTTTGAGAATGTTTGATGCTCGTTAGGAATCCATAGGCCACACAAATGTCTAAAAACAAGATTTTTCTTGGAATTACATCACATAACCACAGTTAACGTGGAAAATGTTACTTTTTTTCAGTCATGGAATGGGAAAGTAAAATTTTGAATACATAATTTTAAAAAAATGTTTTTCATTTTTTTTCTCACCGTCTCCAAATTATGAATGTTAATCATTGTGTAATCCGATGATGTTTTTATTATTATTATAATTAGATCACTTTTTTGTTTACTCTTTTCCCCATATTTTTTGAAGCTTTTTAAGTATTTTTTTTTCTCTCTTCGTCATACTTTCTGCTTTAACTTTTTTTTCAGCTCTTTCAATCTCTTTAAATTTTCGTTCTTTTTCTGAAGTTAATGCAAAAAAGTAATTTTTTTCTTTTGATTTAACCTTCCTCTTTTTTCCAAATTTTTGGCCAATGTAAATGTATCTTCGAAATTTCTTTTGATTTTC